GTGGTTTCGTTGAATTTTGAGGGTATAGTTTTTGTGGGTTTAATTTGTGTGTGTAATTTTTGGCCTAATTTTTTGGTGTAATTCTGTGGGGATAAATTTTTAGGTTGAAGGTTTGATGATATTTGGTTTAATTTTGTGGGGTTTTTTTAGGTTTAATTATGTAGATAAATAGATATGGGGTTATTGGTAGTTTGGTGGCGTTTTCTGGTGGGCGGTGGCAGTAGGTGGAGGTGGGTTAAGGTGGGAATTAGTGGTGATGCTGGATAGGCAGTGGGGTGCATTTAGGGTACTTTTTTTTAAAAAAAACATTGCGACTGTCTTTGGCGGTCGCAAATTGTCAGAATTTCCCCCGACACAAAAACGGTGGCAATTAAAATCATTTGCGACCGTTTTCATATACGGTCGTTGAAAATAAGAAAACAACCACAATAAAATTTACGACCATCAACTAGTCGCAATTTTTTTTTTGCGACCAAGTAAATTACGATCACCTTGTTACGATTGTTGACGGTCGCAATAATTTTTAACGACAATTTTATATATTTTCAGCGACCGTTTGCGACTGTCGCAAAAATTGATATTTTTAGTAATGCTATATGATCACTGGATTTTTTCCTTCAAGGAATTGGTATAGTATCTTAGCCAATATAACTCTGAAGGCAAGGCTGTACTGCAATCAAGATTTTGAGTAGAATGCTTATGGATAGGCTAAAATTTGTTCATGGCATCGTGTTGATTGTTTACAGTGACATTAATGGTGATAACATTTTATTCTATGGGAAAACATCAAGGGTCATTATTGGAAACTTTGGGTTCTCGTTATCAGAAACAAGAGAGTTGTATAAAAAGTTATGGCTCATCCTCTTTTGGAATGTGCATGCTAGAGTTCCGTAACTAGGGATCCTATGTACAGTGAATAATGCAATACTAAACGTGAATTTTTGGCACGCTTAAGTCCCGTGTAGAGCCTCTCATATTACATAAAGTGACAATGACATAAATTCTCCTAATCTTAGCTTGAGCAAATGCTTGGCTACTACATCCTAAAGATCTAGTATTTGACTTTGGAATATTGTTCAATTTTTTTAAAAAAATTTCAAGTCAAAATTCTGTATTGACAACACAAATAATAAAGTGTGTAAATAATCAGACTTAGTTTGAAAATTTGAAAGACCCTCAACAATATACTACTACTAGTACATGTAGTTCCATCTACCATGATGTTACTAGGTTTTGGTTTTTTTTTTTTTTGGGTTGATTTTACTTTTTAATGGGTTTTTATTTGATTTTGGAACTGAATTTTATGTCGTAGTATCCTTTGGAAATGTTTGTTTGATTTATTTTTGTAGTACTTCCTCTGTTACATACTATTTGCAACTAACCTTGTTGCATTATCTACAACAAACTTTGTTGCACGTTCCCCAAGATATAATTTGTTAATGTTGATTAACTACGTGAAAGGTATGTGATTAAGGGTAGGAGAGAAAATTGATATCCACCACTACAAACTGCCATGCATGCAATGGCCTCATCGACACTACCTACCAACAGCAACATCCACCACCACCCATGCCCCACACGCACTCGTCGTTACCACATAACCATCACCACCCTAGGCCTACCTCGTAACCACCACTACCACCATGATCCGAAACCCCGCCAGGGAAATTGTGAAACCCCACCACCTGAGTGAAATTGTGAAACCCCACCACTTGAGCGAAATTGCAAAACCCCACCACTTAAAGCGATATCGTGGAACCCCACCTCCTGAGCGGAATCATGGAACCTCACCACCACCCTCACCTATCTTACCCACAATAAAGACGTACACCCCACACTCACTCGGTCACTCCGTAGCCACGATATCGATCGATCCATCTTTCACCAAATTTGCTTTAGATATGAGATTTCAAGCTTACTCTATTTCTCCTTTTTCCTAATCAATTACTAATTTAAGGAGGAGCGACGACTTTGAGAAGGGTAGAAAAGGTGGCTACTATTATGACGAGGTGAGGATAAAACGACGGTTCTGATGAGGGGAGGAGAAAGCAGCGACAACATCACGAGGAAAAGGGGCAGCGATTAAAAAGAGTGATGTGTGGTTGCGGTGTGGTGGGTTTGAGATCTAAAAGAAGAGAAAGAAAAGTGGTGGCGGTGGTTAATTGAGAGGGAGGATAAAGAAAACGTGGTGGTGGTGTTGGTGGTGGTCTGGTAGATTTGGTTGTGAGAGTGGAGAGAGAATGTGGGTTAAGTATAAATAATGGATGAACTAATTTAGGTTAATGGTTAATAACATGTGATTTGATGTATTTATTGAAGTTAAGTAATGGTAAATTGATAATTATGCACAACAAAATTTACTAAAAAGAGGAAAGTTTTAGTTTGTTGCACATAATGTGTAACATCCATTTTTGGAATTTGTTGCAGATTAACGGAGGAAGTATAATTATGGCAGATATGTGTTTTTGAAGAAAGGAGAGAAATAAGGGTTTATATAGTGGGAATCTAAAAAAGTAAAAAGAGCATGAGAAAGAGAAAAATTAAAAGAAAAAGGGTGGGTTTTGGAAAAAAATTAGGCATTTGACCTACACAAGGGGGTCAACGCCTGAAAAGACCAAGTCAATTAATGACGAAAACTTAAACTAGCAAACCACTAAATAATTATTAGTAAGCGACAAATAATTAGTGATATAAGGCTTACTTTTATTTTTTTGAGGAAAATATAAGGCTTACTTATTAGTAAGTGTTATAATGGTTGCATTGTGAGCTACTCAGTAAGTATAATAAGGGGCTACTCTAATATGTTAGTAAACTAGAGGTTACCTTGTCGGTATCATAAGCGTTACTATTTCCTTTTACAAGCGGCCACACGGTGTGCCAGACTGCCAGTCGCATAGAAAATGTGTTGTAGATTTTGTATATGTCGTCAAGTTAGATATGTAAGATTAATATGCATTTTTTTTTTACTTCTCTTATATCTGGGTACATATAATTTTTTTTCACTATTATATACTTGTATGTGCAATAAAAATATCAAATGATTACATATAATAATAATAATAATACAATTAATCAAATAATTAAGGACAAGCCTACGCATCTTTCTAAAGTCATATATAGCTAAAGGTTACAAATTTTGAAAAACAAAGATTGTACTAAGCAGTAGCTTTTCAGATTTTAGACCTGCAAATTTTTGGATGTGAAAGATGTAATATGCAATGTGAGTGGTGATGAGGTTGATTCATGATTTGATAAAATTTAGTAGGTGATGAAAGAAGATAATTTCATATTTTTTATTCTCCACGAGGGAAAGAAAAATACATATGAGAAATAATATTTACATATATAATAACATTACAACAACTTTTTGGTGCAGCACGCCACACCGTGTGGCAGGGGTTACCCGAATTATTTTGTTAGAGTTACCCGAGTTATTCAGTCAGGGGTTACTCGAGTAACTCGGTCAGGAATTACTTGAGGAGTTTGGACATGGGTTACTTGAGGGGTTCACTCAGTTCTAATAAGGTTACTTGAGGGGTTACTCAGTCAAGGGTTACGTACTCGAGTTACTAGGTCACGATTATTTAAGGGGTTCGGTAAGAGGTTACATACTCGAATAATTTGGTTAAGGTTTATTTAAGGAGTTAGGGGTAACTTGAAAGGTTACTCAATCAGGGGGGTTACTTGAGGGGTTCGGTCATTGATTACTCGAGGGATTACTCGATCGGGGGTAAGTTGAGGAATTACTCGATCAGGGGTTACTTGAAGAGTTACTCGGCTAGGAGTAACTCGAGTAACCCCTGACCGAGTAACTTGAGTAACCCTGACAATTCGAGTAACCCTTGTCACACGGTACAGCAGGCCACATACAAAAAATTGTGACAAAAATATCATATGTCTATAAAAAGATGTGACTATATTAATGCTATATGTGAATATAAAAATTCCTATTTTTAGAATTTACATGTTAAATTTCAAGTGTTTTAGAGGTCTTAGAGAAAAAAGATATGGGTGGGGGAGACGCGATGCGTGCCCTCGACCTAAAGGCTTTGGGCTAACGATTATACATGTTAAATTTCAACCACTACTTTTGCCAAACACTCATACTATCAACCGCTACTTTTGCCAAACACTCCTACTATCAACCGCTACTCTTAAATTTCAAGTATGAGTGTTTGGCAAAAGTAACGGTTGCAATATTAAAATATACTTCCTCCGTTTTCTTCTATTTGCAACACTTCCCTAAAAAGTAAATGTCACAATAGTTGCAACACACTAAGGAAAGTTACTTTAGGGAAAACGTATACTATATCCCTTATTTAAAGCACATGGTCCACTAAATTACACTCCTAACAACCACTCATCCTATTTTAAAGTTTATTATATCATATAAACCCCACCTACCTTTCTTAATTGTTGCGCTAAAGGGTGTGTTGCATCTAATGGAAAACGGAGTATCAAATTCCACTCTTTGCTAGTTTAGTACTAAGTCGGATCGATTAATTATTTGGAAAAAAGGACATTATATAAGTAACATAGTTGTTAAGCACTAAATAATTCGATTTTAATTCTTCATAAACATCTTTTATGTAACAAAACCATGGCCTTTCCTTTACTGATTTTCTTATCTTTCTATTTGATTACATTTAAACTGTATTAATTTCAAAAGTAATTATCAAACAAAATTTGAACTTTTTTATTTAAGTAAGACAAATTAAAGAAATGAAGTATATTTTATTAAAATACAGAAAATTTTATAAAAAATCAAGAAACCCCATTTTAAGTTTCTTGATCTTGATAACCGACTTAATAAATTTCCCTACAAAACTAACAACTTAATAACTAATTACAACTATAAATATCTCATCCATCCATTTCTATTATTTTGTTTCTACTTCAAATTATCCCTTCATTTTTATCCATAAAATTAATCAAAACTATTCTTTCGGTTGTTCTGTGTACTGTTCTGTTGCTTCTAATTAATTACTACTCGATTAGTAATGGCGGCTTCGAGTTCACAAGCCAACGATTATACGGTTATGGAGACAGATCTCACAAGACAATTCGCAAGGTACGAAATATTCATAGGAGAAGGCTCGTCAAAAAAAGTTTACATGGGGTTCGATAGGCGTTATGGTACTGAAATAGCTTGGAGTAAGGTGAAATTACCACCAGGAACAGAAGAGTCTAGGGAAAATCTTGAGGAATTATGTGCAGAAGCTAGACTACTGCAGTCGTTAGACCATGAAAACATTACGAAGTGCTATCATTATTGGATTGATGATGACCAGAAAGTCGTCAACATGATTACTGAGTTTTGTTCTTCCGGAAATCTGACAGACTACAGCAGAGAACATGTGAATAATCTTGTAGGAAATACGGCGATCAAGAATTGGTGTAGACAGATTTTAAGCGCGTTACATTATCTTCATACTCATAATCTGCCTATTACACACCGTGATGTTAAGTGTACTAATGTATTTGTTAAAGGCAACACGAGCACGATTTTACTAGGGGACTTGGGAATGGCAAAGATTTTTGAATCAGGGAGTACACCAGCGTTTAGCACTGATATATTTTCGTTTGGGAGTAGTTTAACGGAGATGGTGAATAAAGAAGTACAAATCACTGAACTCGGCAGCTACAACGATCTACTTAACATCGGTTTCAAGCCTATTGGTTTACTCGGTGTGACTGACCCTCAGATGAAGCAGTTGATTGATAAGTGTATTGACTTTGCACCTGGTGGACCGACGGCATTGGACCTTCTGAATGACCCATTGCTTGCAGTCGATGTTGCTGACATATCGACTGCAAGTACTAGATCTGGTAATCTGTCACTGAAAGAAACTGTGCAAGATCAGGTGGCTGGACTACTACTGCAGCCTACAGAAGTAGTGAGGGAATTTGACAGCGGAAATAAGAAAATCAGGTTACAGGGGAAAATGTCAGAGGATGTATCAATATCTATTACTTTGAGGATTATTATCGATGGCTTTGATATGGTTAGAACGATTAATTTTGATTTCTTACTCAGAGTTGATACAATTCCTGATATCATGGAGAAAATTCAAGGAGAAATTGACTCGTCTGCTGAAGTAATTGCGCTGGTTTCTGAAAATATGGAACAACTCATAACAGAATTCGAGAATATGTTAGTGTACTAAATGTGACTTTGAGACACTTTGAGTTTTAGTTAAGTATGTATGTTTTAGGTTGTCTGCCTAGATTTTATTCTCGTTATGTCAATTAATTGTTAGTAGTAAGTGTTTATTTTCGTTATGTCAATTAATTGTTAGTTGTAAATGTTTGATTTGGACAAAGAAACATTATATTAGTAAGATTGTAGTTCAGTACTACATAATTCAATTTTAATTCTTCATAAGCATCTTTTATGTAACAAAACCTTTCCTCTACTGATTTGATTATTGTGATATAACTAAATGATTAATAAATTCAAATTATTAGAGTTAACCTAAATAACCATTTAATAAAGAGAGCAAGACAAGTCAAACTTAAACTAGCAAACTAGTAAATAAAGCAATTTAGAAACACAATGTGATCGATCATAAATGTTACTGGTAATTTATTAATAACAGCAATTGATATAACTCTGATTCAATCCTTCAAAGTTAATCACCAGTCCACAAGGTTAATGTTTTCCTATTTACCTTTGTTTGGATTGTATAGGGTTAGAAAACAATTTTCCCATTAATGGAAAATGACATCCTGTATAATGAAACAATCAACTTAACAATTGCCACAAACCATTATAAATCATATACAAGTAAAAAGATATAAACATATGTCCAAGAACTCTCTTAAACTCTTAGTTATTCTACGCAATCATCCCTTCATTATTAAATTCGATAAATAAGTCATACAAAATTAAGTACACAAATCAGACAAGATGAAATATCTTAATGAATATAGAGCTCTTATCAAGAGAATATATATACCAGCTCACAGCTAGCGTGTAATCAATCCTTATTAGCTCATAGCTACAAAATTGGATGGCATGGAAAGACAAACCATACAGTACGTTGAAAAGATCCATAACCCTGCTACAGAAACCAAAATTTTAGGATTGAAAAGCATCGGTCAATATGACAACATTCCTCACAAAAGCAACAATTATGTCTTTACTGCACAACAGAAGATGTCATTTACCGCGTAAAGTCCTTTGAATCCCTCTCCAGAAACAATCATATGCATTGCATTAGGAGCTGTGGCAAATTGACCCTTATGCATCCTTTGTTTCACAACCTGTATTATTGTATATTTTAAACCACATACACTTGTTAACCACATGTCAGAAATAATAAATAAGTACACTTCCTCTGTATGACTTCGATAGTGTAATTTGGGAATGAAGTACAACCCTACAAGTATTATAATAATTATGTCACCAAAATTAGTCCTGTCTTACACGGTAGGTTCAAATTGCATCGTCAAGATCTTTTCAGTTAGTTTACCCCTTTTGCTTATTTATTATGCAACTTTCAAGATGAGCCAGAGCACTTAAGTTCTTGGGAAGGACCTTTAACAATTTCTGCTTCATACACGCCCAAAAATATCACTGAAGCCCTGTAAGAATTTAATGAGTTTCACCTTCATATAACTTTGCAAAGTCACTTTACAAGCAAAAGGAAACAGCGAAAGATATAAAAATGCATGTGCAATGTATGGAATAAAAAAAAAAAAAAAAAAAAAGGCAACTATAGCATGTTCTTTCGGCCTAAACCATTGTAAAACAATTGAATAAGCAATGTATGGAATGTTGTGAGACCCTAAAAGTTGTCATTAATCAAGTTCAAAATCATAAAGTTGCGTATACAATGTCGTGTACATAGCTAAGTATGGCTAAGCATAGACTCATAAGGTGTGCAAACTCACACATACATAACCTAGATAGACCGAAACAGAATGGATCAAATTTGCATACACTACTACTAGTCTTAAAATTGATTTCAAGTTCAACCAAATATTCATCATCTGCCTCTTATGAAAAGACTGCACATATTTTACTTTCAACTTTCTTTAGAAAAGTTGCTAATATTTCTTGGCAAAATGTTCAGCATCCAGTATTTATAGCCAAACTGAATTTATGACCTTCAATTATGCCATAAAGTTCATGAAAAAAAATTAAACAATAACAGGATTATGTTTCCCATTCTAATGACAAATATCAGTCTTAACTTAGTACTAGTAAGCACTCGTAAATAACATTAACAATAATAATAATAAAATATAATCACATAAATAGAAAACCTGCAAATTTAGAAATTGACTAAAAAAATATTAAATAATCAAGACTTGTCAAAAAATAAAAAATGAAAAATAAAAAAATAAAAAATCAAGAAAGGGTATTTTTCTTGATAACCGACTTTATAACTGCCACAAACTAACAAGATAAATCTGTTTGGATTACAACTAACCCCATTATACATATAATACTATTATAAATAGCTATCAATCCGTTATAAATCATTTGTTCCAAGAATTCTCTGTTTATCCTATAAAATCATCCCTTCATTTCATTATTAAATCATTTGCTCCAAGAATTCTGAAAGAGCAATCATCCTTTCAAGTGTTTTGTTTTTACAAAACTACTTTCATCAACATTTAATCGTAAGAGATCTTTCTTGGGTTCTTCAATTCTTTGTTGCTGTTAATACTAATGGCTTCGAGTTCACGAATAGTAGAAACTGAAGGTCCGATTTCACTGGGAAAGAATCCTGATATTATTGAAGTGGGTTCGAGTTCACGAGCCAATTCTCGTATAGTTCAGGAGAGAAGTCCGTCAAGGCAATTCATAAGGTACAATAAAATCATAGGAAAAGGGACCTCGAAGGTAATTTTCGAGGGATTGGATACATTGAATGGTATACTAGTTGCTTGGAACAAGATTATGGTGACAAATGTAGACTTAAAGAAAAAGGGAAGCGTTGAAAATTGTTGTGGAGAACCTAAATTGTTGCAAACGTTAGACCACGAGAATATAATCAAGTGTTATTGTTTTTGGATCAGTAAAGATCGTACTTTCATTAACATGATTACTGATCTTGCTTCTTCTAAGAGTTTGAGTAATTACAGAAGGTCACATGAACTTGTTGGTAATGTTACTGCAATGAGTGCAATCAAGGGTTGGTGCAGGCAGATTCTAAGCGCGTCAGAGTATCTTCACAACCGTACTCCCGTGATTATACACCGCGATGTTAAGGGTGAAAACATCTTAATCGATGGGGTGTCGGGCAAGATTAAGCTAGCAGATTTTGGTGTCGCGGTACCTTTTGCAGGCGAAACTGATGATGTTGCTGGTACACTATCGTACATGTCAGCAGAGGATTTGAACGGTGAACAGAGTGAGAAGAGTGATATATACGCTTTCGGAATGTGCCTGCTACAGATGATGACTAAGGACCCTGTGTATAGCGAATGCAGATCAGAATATGAACTTTTAGGAAAGATTAAGTCGGGTGTTAAGCCGGCTGATCTGTACTTAGTGCAAGACAAAATGGTTAAGAAGTTCATTGAAAAGTGTCTGGCTAAGGCGTCTAAGAGGCCCTCGGCAACTGATCTCTTGAAGCACCCTTTTCTTGCAGAGACGACGAAACCAGCATGGTTGAGGTCCTTACGGAAGCTGTCATTGACTCGAAGGAGCAGTTCCTAGGCTTGATGATTCGATACTTTACATCAGTATGAAATTAAGAATTTAGTCTTGATTTTCTTTTGTTTATGTCAAGATTACAAATTGTGTCTTTAATTCAGGGTATGTTGGACTTTAATTTAGGGTATGTTAAGACTTTAATTCAGGGTATGTCAAGATTACAAATTAGTGTTAAGTGCAAGACTTTAATTCAGGGTATTTCAAGATTACAAATTAGTGTTAAGACTTTAATTCAGGGTATGTTAGACTTTAATTTAGGGTATGTTAAGACTTTGATTTTCAAAGTTACTTAGCCTGTTATAAGTGTGTGTAAGTGCGTTCCAAAAAAAAAAAAAGTGTAAGTGATTGCTGTTCTAAGCATTTATTGCTTAGTTAGCTAGTTATATGTGTTTTATATGTTAGCCTTAGTTGATTTAAATATGGAGTAGTTGGTTTTCTTACTTGTTTCACAATATTTGTTTTTCTTGTGTTATAATCGCATTTTAAACAAGATGTTTTCCCTAGATTAATACAATTGAAACAAATTAATGGCATTAAAACAAATTGATGGGAGACATAAAGAGTTTAGTATTATAGGTCACTCAAACTTGTACAACCGATGAGCAAATACAATTTGAATAGTAAACGCCAAAAATTCCAAGTGTAACTGCTAGTTTTCCAAAAAAATAAAAATTAATTAATAAATAAATATATACTAGTACAAATTAGACCTGGCAATCCTGACCCAGACCCGATGACCCGACCCATGACCCGAAATCGACCCGAAACTAGTGACCCGAAACCCGAATTAACCCTACCCGACCCGACCCATACCCGACTCGAAGTGGAACTAACCCGACCTTGACCCGAAACCGGAAATGACCCGTCTTGAGATTAGGGGTATCCGTTCGGTTTTCGGTTTGGATTTAGTCCAAATCCGATCCAATCCGAAATATAATTTGGTTTTTAATTTTCCAATCCGATCCGATCCGATCCGAATTTCTCTCTTGATCCAATCCAATCCAATCCGAATTAAAATTCGGTTATTTGGATCCGATCCGAAAATCCGAATTATAATACATTTTTTTTAGCGCCTAATACAATTATAAAAATAAAGCTTTACTATAAATAAAAGTCTTCAAAATCATGATTAAAATAAATAGTTCAACGTCAAGTGATTAATTAATTAATACAAAGTCTCTCTAACTTATTTTATGTAGTAGTAAGTATTTAAGCTAAACTTCAAAATATACAAAAATCCATATTTATACAAGCTTAATTTTATAATTCGGTTTTCGGTTTGGATTGGATCCAATTAGGATCAATCCGATCCAATCCGAAAATCCGAATTTCCAAAAAATCTCAATCCGATCCGATCCGATTTAAAGTTTGGATCCGATCCGAATTGATAATTCGGTTTGGATTGGATTGGATTTCGGTTTTTATCCAAATTATGGACACCCCTACCTGAGATGACCCGACCCAAAGTTGACCCGAGACCCAAAACGACCCGACCCG